TAGTAAATCTCTGCAGAATAACTAATGCATACTACCTCAGTTCAGTTTTGCAAAAATCTATACAGGTTGCAGAATTTTGATTGCCTGGGTGCAGAATTAATTTACTTGTTCTGAGGCATAACCTTCCCAACAGATGTCTGAGTCCATCTCAGCAGGAAGAATGAGCTGGAGAATACCTCTGAGATGTGCAGAGCCTTTCCTACATACCTAGATCAACCCCAGCCTAAATAGCAAGCCGGAGAACAATGGCACAACACCTCCTGTTTTACAAACTGGGCACTGCTAGTGCCTCTGAGCATGTGCAAAGGACATTTCCCCATATTACCAACTCTCTTCTAATAGTTCCTGTACACTGTGGGAGAAACAGGAATGAGAGATGATCCTTCAACAGCATCTCAGTATCTCAGTATGTCTCAATTGGAGAACAACCCAAGGTCAATTATTTTACAAATGAAGACCTTGTGTCTCTGGTCATGTGCAAAAAACATTTCCCATATCACCAAGGTACCTGTGAACTGCTCTTGTGCATTGGGGGGATAGAAGTAAGAGATGAACTTTCAAGGGCATCCTAGCTTGGAGAGCAATTCAACCCCTCTCATTCTACAAAGGTGCCACTGGTACCTCTGAGCATGTGCAAAGAACATTTCGCATCTCACCAAGCTTTTGTTCATTGAGGGGTGGGGATAAGAGACAAGGTTGATCTTTCAAGGGCATCTGGCATGTCTCATTTTACAAATTAGGTGCTTTTCACCCGCTGAGGGCCACCCCCACTCTAACAAGGATCCTGGTCAGATGGCCTTGCCTTAAGCGAACAAAGGACAGCTTCTTGGAGGGCCTTCTTTTCCTGTCTGCTCCAGCGACATTGACCATAGCCTTGCTTGCTAGGCGATTAAACAGGGGGATCATTTGCCGGCAAGCTATAAATAGGCCACCAGGCCGGTGTCACTGAGTCTGTGTGTGTTACTCACAGCTGGTGTGTCAGCCAAAGTTCTCCAGTCAGGAAACGAAAGTCCCTCCCGGCTCTCGTCTCTTCTGTGGCCCTCTTCCCCTTCCCGCCTCCTTCCTCAGCAACCCTTTTCCTCTGTACCTTGAGTCCAGAAATGCAAACATCTGCCAGGTGATGGCCTAGGCCAGACCCCTTCTTCTCTTGCAGTGGGCTGGCAGGATTCCATAGGAAGCACAGGAGGAGACTAGCTGGTGCTTGTGACTGAAGGGACAACCCTGAGAAGAAGGGGAGACAGAACATCATGAAGAGTCCTGCAAGATCAAGCCAAAGGTCTGTCTAATCAAGCATCCTGTTTCCCACAGTGGTCAGTCAGGTGTCCAACAGGCAAGGCATGAAGGCAAAAGTCTTCCCTTACTGCTACATAGGAAACGGCATTGGTCCATCTAGCTCAATATTGTCTACACTGACTGGCAGCAGCTCCCTGGGTAATCAGACAGGGGCCACAGCCAGCCTAACCTGGAGATGCCGGAAATGGAACCTGGGACCTTCTACATGTAAAGCAGGGGGAGGAGGTAGCGACATTGCTCAGTGATGGTCATTGTTGTGCCACACCAAAACCAATGGTGTGAATGAAATTTAGGGTGACATGCCAGCATATTGGTCAAAAAGCAACAGTTCCATAATTCCACAGTGAAAGGAACAGAAGGGCTAGCATTTGTTAATCCATTGATCCAATCAACTTGGTCAGCACAAACTGTGGCAAATCCTGGCCAATTCATTGGACCACAGTCAAGGTTCAATTTTGCTGAGGTTCAATGAATGCTGGTTCACTGGCCAAGATTTGCCATAGTGTGCACTGATGTTAACTGAACCAACAGCATTATAATCAGGAAAACTGATGCCATATTCCCCATATACACCCTTAGTTGCCTCTACCTGTCACTGGCTTTGCCTGTCTTTGGGCTCTCTGCCTTCCGCCCTACCATTCCCAACAAGCACCAACCACTACTGCATGAGGGGAGTTGTAGTCCAAAACATCTGGAGGGCACCAGGTTATGGGAGAGAAGCTGAGATAGATCTCTGGTAATCTGACCCAAGATCATGTGCTTGTAATGTCATCAGTCAGTCTAAAGAATGACATTGTCAGAGTCAGGTTGTGTTGACCTTGGCAGCCAGCCATCTTCCTCATCACTTTGTGGGCAGGCGGCTTCCAGCCCCATCTGCCTGCACCATTCTGCTGAAACCACATGCACACACATGCGAAAAAAAAGCCAGGAGAAACACACACACACACAACCACCCCAAAGAAAACCAAGGGCAGATGTTCTTTCTTCCCTTTCAGAGCCTGCCACACAGCTGCTGCAGCTTGTGGTTGGGGTGGGTTAGTCAGTCTGTCTGTCTCGGAGTCAACGTGTGAGACGCTGAGGTTGCATTTACTGGAAATGATGGCCAATTTGTGGCTGATTGACTCGGCTGATACTTAAGTGTTTTGCAGGAAGGATTCCCAACTCAGTGGCAGAGAATATCCTTTGTATACAGGAAGTGTCCTAGGTTTGATCCCCAACATTTCCAGGGTCTGGGTTTTTTAAAGGATTTTGGGGTGCACCCTGGTTGGCATCCATCTGTCTCGGGAGACAATGGAGGAGTAGGCCTTGAGGGGGTGAAGTCAAATCGTTGGAGAGTTACAGCGCCTGCTGTGGCTGTAGACACTGATACAGGGGAGATATGTTTTGTTGCAGGCAGGGCAGATGAAGGTGTCTGGTTGTGCTGATGCAGGTATACTATGCCATTTCTTATTTCTGTGGTCCTTCTTCCTCTGATCACTGTTATGGTTACACGTCCTGTCTGTCTGTCTCCAGGCAAGGGATTCCCACAGAGCGGGGGTTAATGTTGTCAGTCTTCATGTCACATTTGCAGACATATTTGTATCGCAGAGTTGGTCTGCCAATGGGCCTGGTGCCTGAAGCCAGCTCCCCATACAGCAGGGTGCATCCATACTGCAACTATTTTGTGGGAGGGTTTAAAGCACATACTGGAAATTAAAGTTTGCACAGTTAAAAGGCTCAGTTTGCTTTCTCCTCCTGTGATGAAGCTGCATTTTAATGTTTTAATGTTGTATTTTAAACTTGTTTTAAGTTGTATTCATTCAACTTGTTTTTATTATTGGTTGTTAGCCACCCTGAGCCCGGCCTTGGCTGGGGAGGGAGAGGTATAAATAAAATTTATTATTTATTATTATTATTAGGGTGCTTAAGAGCATAAGAACATAACAATGACTCACCTAGTCCAGCATCCTGTTCTCACAGTGGACAATCAGATGCCTCAGTGGGAATCCCTCATGCAGAATCCAAACACAATAGCACTCTCCCCTCCCATGTTTTCTGCACTTGGTATTCAGAAGCATTACTGCCACCAGTTGTGGAGGCAGAGCACGCACACATATGCCCTACAGTCATGACCACACACTATTTTCTTTTCTTTTCCTGTTGCCACAATTGTTCAGTACTATCTGCACTGACTGGCAGCAGCTCTCCAGAGATTCAGACAGGGGACACTCCCAGTAGTGCCTGGAGATGCTGGGCATTGAAGCTGAGACCTTCAGCAGGCAAAGAAGATGCAATGAGAGACAGCCCTTCCCTTCAGATAGACAAATGTAGGAAACTGCCCTATACCAAGCCAGGCTCTTGGCCCATCTAGTTCAGTATTGTGTACATCAACTGGCAGAGGCTCGCCAGACTTTCAGAGATAGCGAGTGTTTCCCAGCTCTGCCTGGAGATGCCACAGATTGATCATGCAACCTTCAAACCAGAGACTGAACTGAAACACAGCCATCCTTAGAAATGCGTGCTTCTCTGAATTCTGCAGTGCAGTTCTGCAGCCAAATAATGTGCACAAAAATGTACATACTATGGTAAAATGTGCATAAAAATGCACATTATCCTTGAAAACAATCTAATAAATTGCAAACTGATATGGAAATGTGGGGAACGGAACTTAAGCATGAAAAAGTGGACCAATTTGCTCATCCCTACATTCCACCAAATATAATTTTTGTTATAGGACAGCTTAGATTAGAATCATTAGATAGAAATATAGCACCGTGCCCAAGGCCTTACAGCAAGCCAGTGGCAGAGTTCAAAGGAAGGGGGAGGAAAGCACTCAGACACTTCAGGCTCCAGAAAATTCCTTCCTTCTCTGAAGCGCTCCTTCCTTGTCCTACAAACCAGGCCGTGAGATCAGCCACCGGGGAAAGCGCCAGACCAGTAGGCTGCAGTGAGTACAGTGTGATCGCTATCAGTGCCTGTAGCAATTAACAAGTCCCTTTGCCCTTGTCGGGGAAGCAGCAAATCCAGAGACGCCTGAGGGAAGTGCCAGGAATGGACACCAGCCCCTCAGCACCGAGCCTGCTCCCCACCCCGCTTCATGCCAGGATTGTACAAGCTCTTTGCAAAGGTGTCATAAATCTGGCAAATGACTCTGGCTGGCTCGGGCAGCTCCCATTCCCATGCACAGAGAGCCTTGCTTAAACAACACAGGTCAGGGCCTTGTCCTGTGCCAAGAAGCCAGAGCACATGGGGGTTGCATAGCAACTCCTAGGCACATTGGGCCTAGCGGCTTCTAAGTCAAGTGGGAAGAGACCGGCGGCAATTTTAGAGGGGTGGAAGGAAGGGAGGCAAAGTGGAACATTATAGGAGATGGGGAATGTTTTTTTCCTCTTGAGAAATTTTGTGTGTGTGTGTTTCAGTGTGGGGGAATAGAAGGGAAGTGAGGAAAAGCTTTCCCTCCTTAGGAACATATGCAGTTATCCTATATTGAGTGAGTCAGTCAGTTTGTCCACCTAGGCCAGTATTGTCCACTCTAGGGACAGAGACTGTCAAGTCCGAGGGCCAGACGTAGGCCTCTCTATGTGGCTTTCACTACTCTCCTCAGATCACACCCTCCCCATTAGCCAAACCCCTCACCGCCATCCTTTGCAGCTCCCTTAAGTGTTTTTGCCAGACTCCTCCCGGGGTCCCGGATCATCATACTTCAGCCCGCTAGGACCTTCCCCTTATCAGACTCCTCCAGCTCCCGTGTTTCTTCCAACTCCTCCTCCAAACACGCTCTCCACAATGTCTCCGCAGGACTCGTGACAGAGCCGAGCCTGACAAAGCTTCCTCTGGTTTTCATCTACCTGCAGTGTGGTCCTGATTAACTGCGGCCAGCTGTGCCGTCTCCACAAAACCATCTGGGCAACACTGCCAGCAAAGCCACTGTCTGCCTCGGCTTTGTGACAATGGGCCACAAAGACGTCTGTCCGTGCCTTTGACAGGAAGCCTGCAAAGCTTGCTCTGAGGTGTCTGCGAAATGACGCCTCCATGGTCTCTCAACACAGGGAGGCTGTTGGAGGAGGAGGAGGCAGAGATCTGCAAAATGGAGGAAGTTGGGTAGGTTGGAGGAAGGAAAGAAGAGGCCAGGAAAGCAAAGAAGCAGAGAAGGTGGAGGCAGGAAGTAGGGGAGGCAGAAAACTCCCTCTCTGCTAGGGACCGTTGGCTGATAGGATTATATGGACACCAACTTAGATGGCTTGGACAAACTCATGAAGGATAAGGCTATCAATGATGGCTCTTCTCTGCTTCTGTGCTTCTGAATACCGGTTGCTGGAAGCCACAGGACAAGAGAGTGCTCTTGTTCTTGGGTCCTGCTTGCGGGTCTGCCACAGGCATCTGTGAGGAAAAGAATGCTGGTCTAGGTGGGCCATTGGCCTGATCCTGCAAGCTCTGCTTTTTTTTCTTAAGTTCTTATATGGGGACCAGAAGGAGTACGGAAGCTCCTGACCTCCAGATGTTACTGAAATACTTCTCCCATCTTCAATGACCATCCGCCATGTTTGGCAGAGATTATGGGGGCTTGTAGATCACTGACATCTGGAGGGCCACATGCTTCCCACCCTTGCTTCAGAATGGCCCAGTGGAGAGTACAGACCCTCCAAGTGTCCCTAGTTTCCAGGGATTTGATTTTCCCAATTTCTGATTTGATCCTGCAAGGTTCCACTTTTCCTTAGGATGTCCCTATTTTCATTGGAGAAATGTTGGAGGGTATGGAGTTATCTGACCCCCCCCCCCCCGAGCTGTCTGAAGGCAATCCTGTATAGGGACGTTTAAAAAAAAATGTTTTATGTTTTTATTATGTTGGAAGCTGGCCAGTAAAATTATCATTATAGAATGGGACGTCCCTATTTTCATCGGAGAAATGTTGGAGGGTATGAGAGTGGGTGGCAGGTTTGACTAGTGAGGGGCCCCTCCTGAGTCCTGGGGCCCTCCGGACTGGACTTGCTACTAGCTGAACAACCGCTGGGAACCAGTTCTCTAAGAATAACTTTTTAATGTATATTTTCCAACCTGTGCAGCCTACTAAAACAGCACAAACTGTTTTCTTTTCATGTGGTTTCAGCTCCAATTTGTTGCCATTAGAGGGATTTTCCATGCCTGCATTCCTTTGCTTTTAAGAAAGTGGGAATTCCCTCCACCTCTTCCTCTAACACTACACACACAAACACACACACAACCCTCACTTTTTAGCTTGGATGGACTTTGGTGACCGCATGGGGTGGGCAGTACCAGAAACCAGGCTCCCAATGCAGAGGTCTGGCCTAACTCCTCTCTTGGTAGCTTAACTGAAAACCTCCTGGAATTCTCCCAGATTCCCCAAACAGGTTTCATCTCAGTAAAAGAAATCACATACCTGGAGCAATTCTGCAGCCATTACGCCAGAACGAAAAAGCTGGGCCAGTTCAAACAATTTCAAGTTCTTCTAGGCACAGAAGTGGGTCTTGCTTTCTTCACAGCATCTTCTTGGTCGTCTAGCTCAGTATTCTTGACCCTGACTTGCTACAGCTCTCCAGCATTTCAGATAGGATACATTCCTAGCCCTACTTGGAGATGCTGAGGATTGAACCTGGGACCTTCTGCATGCAAAGCAGATGCTCTACCATTGAGCTTCAACCTTTCCCTTGAGACGTCATTGGTAATATGCCCTCTGGTGAGCTGTAGCACTGTAGCTGCTTGAGGCAACTGCCTGGAGCATTGTGGGAAATTAAAATGGAAGCTTGTCATGTTCCAGCTGCCCAGCGCTGACATGGCCAGGGAGGCTGTCTTATTTAATTTATTATGGTTGTATTTTTATCACCAGAGAGAGGAGCATTTGTGGCTTTTTATGTTCTTTTTTGCCTAAAATAACTCTGCTGGCTTTGGAAACTGCCATGCCATTTATAGGGAAGTAATCTTTGCCACTGAGCCTCAGGCAGCAAAATGTATTGGGCCAGTCCCATACTTGATGTAGCATCAGCCCGAGGCATTGTGGGAAATTTAAATGGCAGCCTGAGGTGATCACTTGGAGTTGCCATATATGGATGGAGCAGGAAAGGCAAAAGTGGGTGAAATAATGAATACAGTGGTACGTCTGGTTAAGAACTTAATTCGTTCCGGAGGTCCATTCTTTACCTGAAACTGTTCTTAACCTGAGGTACCAATTTAGCTAATGAGGCCTCCCGCTGCCGCGCCGCCACGCGATTTCTGTTCTTAACCCAAGGTACTACTGAGTTAGTGGAGTCTGTAACCTGAAGTGTTTGTAACCTGAAGCATTTGTAACCTGAGGTACCACTGTACAAATTTTAATCTTTGCAGACTGGTTTTGACAGACACTCAGCCACCCTTCTCAATCCTCCATCCAGGCATGTGAGAGGCATTACTGGCTTTCAAGAACACATTCCCAACCAGGCAAAAACATTAAGGCTTAAACTGCACTATATATTTAAAGCAATATCATGCCACTTAAAAAAGTCATGGCTTTCCCCAAAGAATCATGGGACTGATGATTTGTTAGGAGACTGCAATTCCCCTCCCAGAGCTGCAATTCCCAGAGTTCCCTAGGAAGAGAGATTGACTGTTAAATAACTGTTATGTACTGAGTTGAATAGGATTCAGAATGCAGCAGTCTGATTGGTCCTAGAGCAATAGGATCCAGAATACAGCTGTTTGATTGGTCCACAGGAGCCACCCAATCCAGCTCCAGGTGGAAGAGAATCCACAACCTGATTGGCCTACAGGAGAATCCCGGAATTAGCCAATCACGTGGGGCCCATTGTGTAAATAATGTATATAAGGCAGACATTCTGGGGGAACTTCCATTCCTCCTCACCACTATGAGCTGAAAAAAGAGCTTGAAATCCACTCTCGACTCCGTGTATATGTCAATAACTCTGACAATTGCTGCTCTATGAGGGGAATAGGGATCTAACAATGCTCAGCGCCCTTGACAAATTACAGTTTCTACAATTTTGGGGGGAAAGGCATGAAGGGTTTGGAGTAGATGACCCCTCAGGTTCCCTTCCAACTCTACTGTTCAATGATTCTATGGCTGTTTAAATTTGTATGATACTGCAGACGAGGTCTAAAAGATGGTGTAGAACAGGGACAATGAGATGTGTGGCCTGGGAGTGTCCTGAGGGCCAGATAGGGAGGGCTTGGAGGGTTGCCTCCGGCTCCCCGGACTTGAGGCCCCGCATTCCCACCCCAGAATGACACAACATTAGAAAATTCAACTACTGTAGGAAATTTAAATGGTGACCTTCCTACACCAGGAGTCAAACAGAGGTTTTGAAATGTTAAAAGGTGGTGCTTGCTAAACTGAAGTAATATCAATGTACTTTCACATGCCATTTTGGGAGTTGCACACCTGGCTGTAGAACAATCTAGGGTCTGCCCAAGGGCTAGTAGGCCTCTGACAACATGGGACTTGGCCAAGCCCTGTGAGGAATAGGAATCTAATCTCTTTCACACTTGCTTGGTGGTACGTGCGTGTTTTTTTGTTTTATTTTTCATTTTTTTTTAAAAAAGGAGGAAAAGAGGCTCCAGCGTGGTTGAAATAACTCTGCTTACTGTCGGCCGTCCAAGAACAGCGAGGCCCGCTCATAAAACAGTCTCTCACATCAGTGTGGTTTTGGCGTCGCTAGGCAACGAGATATACAAAACACACCATCTCACAAGGGGCACTGTAAAACCTTATATCCCCCTCAGAGCTGGGTTTCATCTGAAGAAATTGTATCACCTAATTAGAATGGAGTTTGGTTTGCTAAAGCAAAAGTTTAGAAAGATCTCTTCTCCCAAACTCTTCCGCTAATGCTGGTTATAATTTTAAATCGCAGCAAAATTTGGTGCGGGGTAGGGAAAGGGAAAGAGATGACTGAGAGTTAACTTTAAGATGAGGGTATAGTCCCATGCAGAAGCATCACAGGTGATTTCCACTCACCTCACAAAAAAAAACCAACAACCACGATTTGGAAGGCAAAGTCATTTCCTCACACTGCTCAAAGGAAGCAGGTGTGGGTCCATTTTCCTTGGCTTCATAACTGGCGAGAGTAGCCAGCCCCCAAGAGGGAATGTGAGGAGAAAAATCTGTTCAAAATGGTTTTGCCATTGATCTTGCTGACCCTGCCTGTTTTTCCTACAAAGGGAAAAATGATTCTTGATTTTCATGAACCGCTTTTCATGTTTTTTTGGTCCTTTTTGTCCTCACCAAGGCATATTTAAGGCAAGCACTATCGCAGCTTGTCCCAGGATAGTCTAAAGTGACAGCTCGATTCAAACTCTATCATATTCCAGGGGTGGGAAACTCGATCAGTGGGGCAGATTGGAATCTCTTCTAACCCTTCAGTAGGTTGGCAGGACCTGTCAATCACTTAGCATCACAGTTATATCAGTTTGCCTGCACAGTTTGAAAGCAAACCATGTGGCCAAAAGCAAAGACCACAAACTGCCAATGACCAGCTGCCAGCTGACTGGCCGTCACTGCTTCTTGTGGAAGCGAGTTACATAGTTTAACCATTTACTGCAGACCAAGATGAATGCAAGATGCATGCTCACTGTGGCATAACCTCACCAACAATTCAGAACAAATGCTCAGTACAGACCAGATATAACCTAACCCCTGTGTACACTTTGTGCAAGCAAATCAGGATGATTTCTCAATAAATTGCTTGTCTGGTGAAGCGCTATGGGAAGGGATTACTCACCCTTCGTTCCAAACTCCGTCACCATTTGGTCTGGGTGATTATGATGGCTCGGTGCCACCTGGGCAGATTCTCTCTTTCTTCTACCATATGGGCTCCTTTCCCTGGCACACCTGCCTGCCAATGCACACTGGGCACCTGTCATTCCAGAATTCCCAGTGTGGGTACAGTGAAAAAGCCTCCTTGAGACCCATGCATTCACCTGGATCATCTGCCTCTAAATCTGGTTCGGAGACCACCTTCTTCTTTCCTTCAGATTAGGCCAAAGGCCCATCCACCCAGATACCTGTGAGAAATTCTTGAGGAAGATC